CACCAGCTGGAATTACACTTGAAGGGGGAAAGGCTTGCGAGCGCTGTCCATGGTTCTGTCGAATTCTTTCATGACCCAGCTTTATTCGATGTAAATTCTGCTGTCTATAGTACAATATTTTTTATGTCAATATGCCACTTTGTGCATTTGTCTTGTAATATTTTTCTTTTCTCCATATAATGGTTCTATGGCTAAGACTCCCATGGAGACTAGCTGTGTTTCATTCTGTTATTCCTCTTAGAATCTCTTGGAAATTGGGTTATAGAATATTACAGTTTGAAAGGAACTTAGAGGTACTACAGTTCAGTAATTCCAAATATATTTTGGAAAGAAACTCTTGGGAAACTAAGATATAGTCCCCACTTAGATGCTAGTGAACTGAGGCCAAAGTGTGAAAAGGCAAAGCTAAGACTGCAAATTATATGTACTGATTCCCAAACCATGCCATAGATCAGTTAAGATGCTTGCAGTTACAATGAAAATAGCTTTAAAAATGAGGAACATCTTATATAGAAAATCCTGAGGTGGTGGCTGAAGGAATAGTTTAAGAGCTGAGTAATGTCACTAAGGACCCAGGCTCATGCCATTGCCTGTCTGTTCTCAGTATGTCTGATATTTGTCCAATAATTCTACCAACACTAAGAACCCTGACCTTCCAGCCTATATCAAGGAAAGAAAAGAGACTCTCTTTTCCTTATCTGTCTTATAAGCTAAGACACTTTTTCAAAAACCACCAGAAGTCTCCATTTACATCTCATTGGCAGAAGGGAATATTATGTCCCATTCTACATGATTCATTGGCAAGAAGTATGGAATTGCCATGTTTGTCTTTGTGAAATCCAGGTTCACTCTCAGGGCCTAGCCTAGGGCTATCCTCTGGAGAAGGGTAAGACTGAGAACACTTTGAATCCTGTGTAATCAGGTCAGCTCACAAGAGAAAAGGGAGGCATGACTAATTTGGACAGGAAAATTCTCCATTTCTCCTATTTTGCTTGTCTTCTGAGCTGGTGGCTTTGACAGATTTGTTAGTCTTTCTAAGGGTGTGTGTGCATGTGTGTGTGTGTGTGTGTGTGTGTGTGTGTGTCTGCATGTGCAGCACCCACCCACACACACACACACAAACACTACACAGTCCCATGTCACCCCCCTAGGACTTGGGGGCAGGGAGAAGAGCAAACAATATGAGTACACAGCTCATACTACCCACTGTGTTGTGAGTGTAAATCCTTTGTGTCTGACCAGGAGTCTCATGTCTTCTACCCGCATCATGAAACCGTGGCCAGCTAACTGGCAGCTTTTAAGTAGGTAAGACACTTGGAACTTCCCAACTCCTGACACTACTGGAATGCAGCCATTCATGTTTGAGAGTATGTCCTTTCTGATGAGCCGTGCTATCTACACCAAACTCTCCCACCCTGATTGCTGGAAAGGAGAACAAACAAGAATATAAGGAATTCCTTCTCGACTGGCAAAAACAGGGCAACACTTTAGTCTCTGAGTGGAGTCACATTAGGAGAGGACAGTGTCATTGGTGCTGGTGCCTTCTAAACTGCCTCTTCTTTATTTGCTTGCTGACTCTCTCTATAATTATCTCTTTTAAAATGTCATTTGCTCTCACCCAGAAGACCAAGAGCAATCAGCCGCAAACTGAACTTTAGAAGCTTTTAGAACACACTGGCTGTCTGCCTGGGAGATGGGATTTCTCAAAGGCATGCCGCAACAATGTCAGGGCAGCTGACATCGAGTGAGGAAAAGGATCCCTTCTCTTCTCATGCTGGACCTCACAGACCTTACCTGAAGAAGCCACAGATGGGAAGAGAATATGCTAAGCCTGTAAATACTTCAGCAGTCTCAATGGCAGCTCCGTGGAGAGGAAATTGCTCACAGAATCCCATGACCTTGAGTCCTTCTTGCTATACCTTGGGTCAACTGGCAGGAATTCTGAGTTTTAGTAGGATCCTGTCAACTTTCTTTCCTTCTCTAGAGCAAGGTATAGCCACTAAGGAGACCACATTAAAAGGAAGAAATAGGACTGGGCGTGGTGGTGCACGCCTGTAATCCCAGCACTTGGGAGGCTGAGGCAGGAGGATTGCTGTGAGTTCAAAACAAGCCTGGGCTACATAGTGAGTTCCAGGTCAGTCTCAACTACATAGTGAGACCCTGTCTCAAAAAAAAAAAAAAAGGCAGAAATAGGGATCCATTGTGACAAATGCAGAGAAAAGTGTAGATGTTTTCTAATGACTTCTGGTACTCAGAATTTCTCCAAATGGTGACAGTTTAAAGACTTGGGCAGGGATTCATCATAGGAGAAGGACAGCAGCAGAGAAAATTAGACCAGCATTTATCCTTTTGAGTCGAACCTTAGGGTTAAACTCAATTTATCCCTAAATTCTATTTCCCTGATGGCAGTTGATGCCTTTAAAATGAAACAATCTTTCCTGCTTAGCCCAGATTCCCTTGTTCTCTTGCTGTTCTGACAACTTACATTTAAAAATGCATCGGCCAGGACACAACACTGTGAGATGAGAGCAGATTAAATCTTAAACCAAGGCCACTTTTCCCCCCATAGACTGTATCCAAACTGCAGAAAAAGATCATTCGGTCCATGGGTCACTGTCATTCACCTGTATTCTGATCATAATTCCAAAAAAACCATGATAGCAGCCACCAGCCTGAATGCTAAACCCTGTCACAATGACCCCTCAAAGCAGAGGCTCTTCAGATATTTTTCTGGAGTTTGTGTGGAATCACAGGTGTCAACATTAAAGTTATCTTCCTAATGACACAAAAAAATCAAAATTTCTTAGTACAATTATGTTGATTAAATTGAGTTCTATGTCTAACATCCCTGTAGCTCAGTAAAGTTAATTCAGCTTTCAGAGGGATTTGACATAGAGGCAGCGAACACTAGCTCCTGAGGATCCAACCCACTGTGGTTTTTAAATTAGAAGTTTGATTGCTTGTGACACCATCTCAAAATGGTACCAGCCCAAAGAAACTGAATTTTCCATTAGCCCTAGAAAAAAATGACAGCTATTTAATTAAACTGCTTAGAGATTAGGCAGAAGGCTTATTGATGGATGGAGGGCCGGATATCTTTATAAGCAAAGTCAGGAAATTCACTGTTGTGCCACATCTTTAATGCTTAAAATAATCCAGCAAGCCTAAAGGGGCTCAGGATGTGCTTGCTGCTTCAGCAGTAAGCTGCCCTTGCTGCCAATCTCAAGAAAAACACTCATTTAAAACACATGTTTATAAAGCATGGCATGGTCACTGAGGAACTGCATATAAACTGAAAATGTGAAATAAGAAAGCTGCTGCTAACTAAAGTTGACAAAGCAACCACTGAATCCATTCATCTATTGTTGCAAGATGATTTATTGCAGGAGGTGACTTGGAAGAGATCTCTGAAAAAAAGAGGAGAATGATTTGTGGTCAGTGCTGGAGGGGAGGTAATGGGAAGGACCCAGCTTCCCAGCTGAGGACCAGCCAAGGTATGCAACACACAATGCAGAAAGGGATTATGCTGTGGGTATGTTGTACAACCTTTGGGACAGCCACAAGTGATCCAAAAAAAGATGTGAGTCACCTTCATTGCTTCAGCAACTCACTGATCCCTGACTTCCAAAAGTTAATGGACTGACGTACTAGAAGTTACCCCAAAGCAGTATTTCTCTACTCTATTAACATTTCCTGGAGAACTTTGGAATACACCAGAACCTATTCCAGATCCAGTTAAAATCCCTGAAGCAAGATATTTCAAGAATCTCTTGTGAGATTCTCCATTGTTGGTGGGAGTGCAGACTGGTGCAACCACTGTGGAAATCAATATGGAGATACCTCAAAGAGCTGGGACTAGAGGTCCCATTTGACCCAGCTATTCCTCTGCTGGGTATCTTTCCAAAAGAATTAAAAGAATCATAACACAGTGATATACACACACCTGTGTTTATAGCAGTACAGTCTGTAATAGCTAAAACTTGGAAACAGCCCAATTGCCCATCAGTTGGAGACTGGATAAAGAATGCTCACACATGTTTATAGTGACACAGTTTGTAACAGCTATAACTTGGAAACAACCCAAATGCCCATCAGCAAAGAGACTGGATAAAGAAGATGTGGTTTTTCTATAAAATGGAGTACTACTCAGCAATAAAAAAGGAGAAACTAGAAACATTTCTAGCTAAATGGATGCACATTGAGGCTATACTCTTAAGTGAAATAAATAGGACACACTTGAGTAAATACTGAATAGTTTCTCTGGTGTGAAAAAACCAAAAGTATAAATAAGGTTAAATGGTAAAATTGAGAGCATGAAAGTGGCTAAAGGGGAAGTGGAAAGGGGAGGAGAAAGGTAATAAGGGAAAAGAAAAAATGTAAAAAATAGAAACAAAGTCTTTGGAAATGGGGAAGGGTGAAGCGGGTGAAGGGAGAGCAGCGGTATGGGGAAAAAACAAGAACCAAGATCTATCATGTAAAGATACAAGATCCAAATGATAAATGTAACTGTATTGTTTGCAATAAACTTAATGGGGAGAAAAAAATAAATAAAGTGGATAACTAGCAAAAACAAAAATCTCTTGTGATAGTAAACCACTACCTAAAGAGCTGCCAAAGAAGTCAGTTATAAGTGGAATTCAAAGATCTCAAGCTCTGGAACCTGAAAAACCTAGGCTCAGCTCTTGATCTACTAACTTGCTAATCTAAAACATTCAAAATCTGGGTCTTATTATCATCAAGTTCCCTAGGCCTCAGTTTCCCTATCTAAAAAGAATCAATGATGATAAATTCTTGGAAGACTTCAAAAGATTAAGTAACATACTGACACATAGACCCCCCCGCAATACAAATTTATTTTCCTCCCCCTGGTTAGTAGTGGTGAGTAATAGACCTGCACAGATTATTTTTCTCTCCCTTCTCTGTTTTTCCTCTAAAACTCAAGCTATGTGGTGTCTGAGAGAACCATCCTCATGTGTCTTTTACACTTTCTGTTCCTCCAGCTGCCACAGAAGTGTCCTTTTCATTTGACGTTGGAAATGGGCCAGTGGAGATTGTAGTGAGATCGCCTACCCCTCTCAACGATGACCAGTGGCACCGGGTTACTGCAGAGCGGAATGTCAAGCAGGCCAGTCTTCAGGTGGACCGGCTGCCCCAGCAGATCCGCAAGGCCCCGACAGAAGGTCACACACGCCTGGAACTCTACAGCCAGCTGTTTGTTGGTGAGCACTGGAAAGACAGTGTCTTAGTTACTTTCTCGTGCTAGGACAAAACGGCCACAAGTTAAAGGAGGAAAGATTTATTTCATCTCACAGTTTTTAGAGGTTTAAATCCACAGTTAAATAGCCCTCAGGCAGGGTGTTATGGCAGAGGGGCATTACAGAGGAGAAACAGTCCACAGCAAGCAAGCAGGAGGCATCAAGCATCAAAGCAAAGCAACAGCAGCAATCCTTTTTCCTTTTTATCCCACCCAGGCTACAAGACTTTTGGGAGGAGCCACCCACACCCAGGGTATGGCTTCTGTCTTCAGTAAATCCATTCAGCCACACCCAGAACCATGCTAATTCCAATCAGTGGACTAACCTAGTCTCACATACCCTTAATCCCAGGATCATACCCTTAATCCACATTCACACATTCTATATCAAACCACATCTGAAAAGCCCCGCCTATAAATTCATGAGGCTTTGGGGGTATATCCAGATGTAAACCATAACATACAGTCATGACTTCCCTCTATCGGTTTTAAGAGCCTTCACAATGCAACAAATAAAACAAGAAAAATAAAAAATGGATTACAGAGGGTTTTGGTAGAGGTCCTTCCCAAAGCAAAGGTTTGACTTCTTGTCATCACCTCCAAAACAGAAAGGAACAAGGAAAAGACCCAGAAGACTTAGACCTGACTCCACTTCCCTTCCCCTTGAACTCACGATTTCAGCTACAAACCAAAAGTGTAGGCTGGGGCATCTCTCAGGGATCTCTGATGTCTGCAATTTTATATTTATGGTTCTAAAGTAAATTATTTCATCCTTCTGGGCACTTCTGAGAGTGACAAAGAAAGGAAAGCAGAGAAGGAAGGGAGGAAGGGAGGAATGGAGGGAGGGAGGAAGCTCTCTAAATTCAAATTTTCTTGAAAGGGTAAATGTGGGGTGGGGGAGAAAACAAGCTATGTTCAGATTTACCTGAAATGATAAACAAAAATTCATTCATTCTCTGCCCATCTTCAAGCTGCTAGGCAGAGAACGATTTAGAATTCTCCTAACATAGTGTCCCTCTACATGGGAAGAGATCAACACTGAGATCAACACACAAAAGACACATTTAAATACAGCAAAAAGTTAACCTATGAAAGAATCTCATCCAGTCACATGGTCTAGTCTTCATCAATACCTTTGCTATTGACTGACATGTTTCAGATGAACCTAAAATTACTTCAGAGCAATACAGCAATACATGTTTCCATGGCTAGTTGAGTCTTTATTTTGCTTTATAGAATATATTTTAAGAAATTAGCAACTTTTCCTCTATTGAATAAAAAGAAGTAAATTTGAAGGGTTTTGTGGAAGTGTACCACCTTAGAACACCTGACTGGTTTCAGAGAACACCCCACTGATCAATTCTGTCAACTGTGGGGGTCTCCTACCCAGCAAAATTGAGGGACATGTTGCTGTTCAGATTCATAACCCCTGCCACCTATGCCCTGCTTGTAGGATTACACCCACCAAGTGTTAGTTACTGTTAACACAAGCCAGAGTTCTCACAGGGCCTTTCCTGGTTGTGTTGGGGTGCTTGAAAAGCATTAGAAAATCATAAAAACAAAGATTAAATTAGGTATTCACTCTTTTCATGGGATATGTGCAAAGTATACAACAAAGGTGAACTTTAAAAAGGGAGAATGACTTGTTACCAAGCCCCATCAGTCAGAGGCCAAGAAAGAGTTGAGATTTTAAAATTAAAAATCTCCACCTCCTTAGGAACCCAGCACTCTCCAAATCCTTCGCTCTAGTCATAGATAACAAAATTACATGTACAGTAAATACCTCAGTTCATGAGCACTTCTGTTCATGAACAATTTAGTCCCTGAACAGAAGTATTCAGCAAAATTTTGCTTCAATTCATGCACAGTATTGGATGACAAATACAACCACAGCTATTTTCCCCAGAATCATGGGGCAAATTAAGTTCATGACCCAAGGCACCAGTATAATTTTTTACACATAATTTTAAAGTATCTAAACATTTAGTCTATTGATTCCTCCTAAGCCTAGTATAAAAATTTTGCATCTTCAATATATCTTGCCAAGATTATCCACAGCAAGTTTCCTAAATTCAGCTAGTCCCACCCTCCTGCTGAGTCTACTCTACTTGTTTTTCATCGTAACAGTTGACTCTACATGGCTTGATTCATCATTTTTCTGACTTTGCCTCTGGATGCAGAGGTACAATTTAGTTTTATCCCTTTCTGCTCACTATCATTGTCCTGAAGAATTCTGGAGCACTAGTAAGGCTGTAAAACATAGAGTTAGGAGGAGTATTTTTTTTCTGATATTAGAAAGAATGTTGATCCATTTAAAGAAAATCGCCCATGAATAGCTTATTTAAGGAAAGAAAAAGCACAGAGAGCTGAAGACAAATTTCTGCAAAACAATGAAATTTAAGGGGTAGGCATAAAAAGAATGTCTCAGAAGGAAGAATGAAGACAAATGGAAGGCATAAGCGAAGGAGAATTAGCAAAGGACAATGTCACAGGAGCAGAAGGTTTTATGGAAAAGGTAACGGCGACTAACATCATGTGCCATGAGTTAAAAATAAAAGCTAGAAAAATTGTTCTTTGGATTTAGCAATTATGAAACCATTCTCAGGGAAAGTTTCTACACAGTGAGCTGATGAGACGAGTCAGCCAGTTCTTGTCACCAGATAATGAAGGATCAGTCTTGGTTTCCAGTTTCTGGTCTCCTGTTATCTTAGCAGTGGGCATGATGAGTACGCGCAAGACACAAGCTGGCTGAGCCAATCTGAGAAATACTGCTCTGCAGTAGCAGTCTACTCCAGGATAAGCAGACAGGAGTGTGATTTCCAGAAAAAACAAACAAAAGAGTCAACAGCTATGAAGCCCTGGAACCAATTATCCCAAACTATTCATCAAGAATGTGGGCAACTGGAGTATTGGTCTCACTTCAAATCTAATAAAAGCATTTTTTTATCAAGCACTTCCTTTTCCTCTTTTTCAGTGTCTTTGCTCATTTTAGGTCCAGTAAACATTAGTTTTTCCCCAAATTTCTTCCATTAGACATTTATGATTATGTGCTTAGAAATGGTTGACCAAGACCTGGCCCACCAAATGGTCAACATTTCCACAGGGCTTTGTGATTACCAAAAAATGCATTTTGAATCCCACCTCTGCCACTTTCCAACTTGGAGAACACTGATAAAGTCCTTAATATTTTGGCATTTAGTAAGAATACAGCTCCTACGTCTCAGGGTTAAATGAGCAGTTCCATAAAAATCACTCAACAGAAGACTTGGCCTGGAGTCTTTACTCATCAAGGATTTTGCTTACCTCCCACAGTAGTGACAGAGCAGCAAGGAAGGACGCCAGGTTTTCTCACAGTTGGCCAGGAAAGCAAGGAAGAGATCATGTGAAAACATCAGACCAGGGACCAGGGATTTACCTCAGTGGTGCCACCACCTGTCTCGCAAGCACAAGGACCAGAGTATGATCCCCAGTACTGGAAAAAAGAAAGAAAAGAAAACATCAGGCCAGTCTCATTGTCAGCAGCTGAGGCAGGTAGTAGAGGTAGCCATGAGTTTCATTTGGGGTTCTGGACAAGGAAGGGTTTTGTTACAACTTCAAGCTCAGACAGCCTGAAAATAATTCTCAACTCTACCCACAGACTGGACCAAGGCAGGGCCACTTCCATTTCATGAAGATGACCTGTGTTAGCAAGGCCAAGCTCCCATCTCCATTTTCAAAGTGACTAAAGACACACAAAAGACATGGTTCTTGCTCTACATCTAAAATACAATTAGATGCTGTCATTCAAAAAGGGCTAACACCCAGGCTAACTTCCAAGGTCATTGGGAAGTTATAAGATTCCAGCCATGATGCTTGGCTAGTAGAAAAGTAACAAATTTTAAAATCAAAAATGACACAAAAAGGAAAAGCACTTACTGGTATTTGTCTAAAATATGCTGCAACAATGACCCAAAATAAGTGACTAACACATGCCAAGCTCCCTGGATGGCCCAGCAGAGGCCACACAGTGATCTGTGCCAACCATGTGTCAGAACTGAGTTCTGTATGGTGGCATGGGCAGAATTTCTCAGGGGGCAGAGAGGAGCAAGCACACTCATGTTTGTTACCTCAGCAGCAAGCCCTCTGGTACAGATATAACCAGGGAGTATGGAGTCTTAGACACTGGGGTAGCCTGTGAGGAAGATGGTATCTGTTGGGCCCCAGCCAGGAGCCCATCTGCCAGCATAGGAGTCAGCAAATATGACCCATAGAAGGGAATAGAACAAGCTGGGCAGGGTGGGGGCTGACCAGGGCTCAGCTTTTAGCTCAGTGGACACAGGCCAGAGCATGGAACTCTGTTTGGCAGTCCTCTAAGGAGGTCAGAGATCTGGAGACCACTTCATGAATATGTCCAGCTTCTAAGTGGCTCCTGAGAAGCAAGACTGGGTCATTGTAGCAAATGACAAAGGTCCAGCTCAACTCACTTGGCTCTGACTGCTTCTGAAATTCCTTTGGCAGCTAAAGGGGACAACTTTTCTGCACCGTGCAGAGCTCCAAGCAGCTAAAAGGTCATTCTCAGTGTTTCAAGTTCTTCTGTCACAGGTGAGGACTCAACTGGAGACTCAGGGGGAGAACTGCTGTCTTCACGCTCACTCAGAGACCAGGGAATCGGGGAAGTTCCTCCTCCTCTAACAGTCTGTCTGGGAGACCTTTCTTGCCTGGTGGCTACCTGAGTTTGTGAAATAAGCAAGGTTTCTTAACTGGACATAGAAGCAAATAAAGACTAGAGTGCTAGGACCCGTCTGTAAGCTGAGTGTGGCTGGCTGCCTCAAGAAGAGCTCAACTTCCTTCAGCTCAATAATCCAGCTTGTTTGGTCAGCAGCTCCTCAAACCCTTGGCATCCCAAAATCACCATTGGATAACTTCTGTGCCATCTGCAATGCCAAGTGACTGAGCAGAGAAAGCCAATATGGATATGCAAGGGGG